CCTCAAACCTCAAGACTTGGCTCCCACAGCCCCCTCTGGGCCCCCTCTTGTTTGCTTCGAGCATCTACTAGTTTCAAGCTGCTCAATTGCACAACTAGTGATGAGTTCTCACAAGTCCTCAGTCCAGTCTGTGTGGCGACCTCACATCCAAAGAGTTCAGTATGAAATTGAATGCAGGTTGGATTCCTCTTAGCCTCTTAGCACTTCAATTATTATGCCTACGTATACATGCTTGGGTTTGGGCTGTCCTGCTCTTCCCTCCGGGCATTCGGAGCTCCAGCCCTTTCCAAATCACATGTTCAATCTCATTTGGGGCAGTTCCGTGCAGTTTGAGCTGCTCCCAAGCAAAAATGAATTTCCACGTCCTGCCTCCGCTCCTTTGGGCTTCTGCTTCTTGACTTCAACACTACGTGGCCTGCATTCCAAACAGAACCGAGAAACGTTCGCGCAGGCTTCAAATTGGTGGGTCAAATACTGAATCTCGAGTTGAAGCATAAGCATCCGACGATGTGACCTTGCTCCTTCGGGTGAAGGCTGTCCTGACATGGGATAAAGCTCAGCTGACAAAAATGCATTAATAAATATATATATATACCGTAAACATAATCATTGCAAAGAAATGATAAAGCTCTGTCATTGTCATTGTCATTAAAAACCAAGTATATACTTCGACCTCGCCTGACGCTGCACTTCTCTGGGAGATCTCTGTGTGGCCTGTGGTTGGGGATTGCTTCTGAGGTGGCCATTAGGACTCATCGAAATAAATAAGAAGGTTGGAGTTGGAGTCTATGTCTTTAAATTTTCACCAGCATCAACACCAAACAGCATTTGTTCAGTTGTTTCGCTTTCAACAGCCATAGCATACACATACACCAAACAAAGAAAGGTTTCCTTTTTCAAACGAAAACGGTTTGATATTATCGAAAGTGCATCTGTCAAATGCAAGCATGCATTTTCCAAACAATGTGGTTGCATGTCCCAAGGCTTTCTTACGCCTCTTCGAACATACATCTGGGCAAATTGAGCAGTACAACCATTGATTTTGAGCAGTACAACCATTGATTTTCAGAAGCGTGACGTTGCACTTCCAAGTCACAACTCTGGCTTGTCAGAAGCATACTATATAATTATTGTGCAATACAACTGTGAAGTGAAGTTCGAGAACACAAACGCGCGTTCTCACAAGCATGACACGGTGTGTCCAAAGTCGCAAACCCATCCCGCTGCGCACTGTCAGAATGCACCTGTGCACCTTGAGCATGCAAGCCCGTGTTGTCAAAAGCACGCGGGCCTTTCCAGGGGCCTGCCCTTCAAAAGCATACCGTTGTGTGTTGTGTTGTCCATGCATTTTGAGCAATACAAGCCCCCTTCTCAGTAACATGATGTTGAACTTCCCCAGTCAACCCTGGTATTTTCAATGTGTCTGCGCATTTTCGATTGATACAAGACTGTGCTTTCAGAAGCACGATGTTGCATTTCCAAATTCCAAGGTTAGCCTTTCCAAAAGCAAAGCATTTGTGCATTGGGAGTACAAGTGTGCGTCTTGAGAGACATGCCGTGCGAAGGTTCTCTGAGTCACTGAGCATGCTATCGTGATCGCGGAATCCGACCCGCAGAATGCCAGTGGGGAGGCAAGTGAAAAAGCAAAGCGCAACTCATGTCATGACAGGTTGCCAGTGGCGACACAAGACCAGTCTGGAAATTATGTTGTGAAGTGGGGAAGTCACCTCGTGACAAAGAGACACACGTGGATAAACATGTTGTGACAGGTTGCCAGTCATGAAACGAAGCGGGGGACAAGGGAAGTGGGTAGGCAAAGGGGAAATCATCTTGTGACGGGATGCCATGAATTGAAAGCCTATAGAACCCCAACAGCAAGTTGTTTGGCAAAAACTCAGTCAGTCACAAATCATCAATCTCCGAAATTTGGAAACAATAATGACTTCATCAAATCCCTCATGGAAGTTGAGCTAAACATGCATGTCAGAACTGCAAAGGGAATATGCAAAAAATACATCTGTGTATACATATGCAGACAACTGTATACCTAAGAAGGGAGGGGACGAAGCCAGACCTCGTAGACACTGAGAACTCTAGTAAACACTGAGAACTTGTAGCCAGCCCTCGTAGCAGGTTGGATGCCATTGCTAAGTACCTGTTGGGACTATTGCAGCCCTCTCCAGCCCTTCTAATGAATTCAGAAGCTATGCCGAAGCGTTGCCAACATGGGTAGGCCAAGCATAATCTCAAACCCGGTACTGTCAGTGAAAGACTTCAAAGGTACATCGTGCAGAACGCCGTCTATGCCGTCTATGCGATCTTCTATGTATTCGGCTTGCAGAGGTACTTTGTCTTTACAGCAGGGCAAGCATCCTTAAAGTCTCTCCAGGAGAATTTGGCGCTACCTCAAGATGGCATTCAAACAGGCCGCAAACATAGTCTTTCAACGTATTTTCTTTACAGCTGCTTTGGGGGACCTAGCTATATAGATCCCAGAAGATAGCACTGGTGCCCTATATTCTTCTCCAAAACTGTCACAAAACGATCAAAAGGGGCACCACCACCACACGCCCTTTTCGTTGAGCCCGTTAGTCACGATGCGTTTCAGCCACCTCTCTGGGACCACGTAAACTCTACGGCGGAGCAGTACAGAAAACTGTCCTTTTTGCTGATATCGCACAGTGCCTTCTTCGTTGAGGTCTTTATGGCAGCAACACAACTGCACCAGGCTCTGGGTTCACCCTGCCCGCCAGGAAGCTCCACGCAACCAACCCCCCCCACACCCCGTAATACTCACTTCGTTCGCCCATCTAGCACTTCAGCCTAGCCTATCGGCTGGCTTTCGTAATAAACATGCCTAGTTAATTTAACATTATTGTATCGGTATAGATCAACATTCCGCAAATGTTCATGCCTGGACAATGGGACCTTGACCTTTTGTGGCCAAATCCATCCCACAACCTAAAGTGCTAATGTTTCAACAAATGTTCATGTCTCGACTATGAGTACCGCATCACATCCTCGCACACATTGACACGGCAATATTGCCTCTCAAATTGACAATTGGATCTCCGGCATGGGCATCCCGAGGAGAGGTCGGAGGGCCTATGGATGGCTGAAATCCGTATTGTATCTATGTGTCATACTCTCCACGCACAAGAGCGAGTCGGTCGCAGAAAGAAAATCGATACGGTGCAGTCCGCCTGTGGATGCACGGGCCTGTTGCATGACTTGGAAGACCAAAAGCAGATTTCACTCGAGTAGTGCTAGCCGTCAGGTGTCTGACAAATGCCCAGCTCAGTAAGACAACATGTGTGAAAGGTGCTCATTTTGGCGAGAAGAAAGGTGAAGGGGAAGTTGTATGAAAATCAAGTGCGAGGTCGTCATTCTTAAAACGGGAGACTTCAGTCCTTCCAGACTCGAGCCGTCGTCCCCTTGGAACCAGCTAGTGCAAATAAAGTGGTTGGAGTTTTGATAAGCCCAGTGGTTCACTGCATTCACTTGCCCTGCAGTGGGCTATATAAGTCACCGGACTTCATGATTTCTTTCAGAATGTTGGTCCAGCCTTAGTGGTGTGCAAAGGAGTAGGGGAAGTTAGAGGAAAGATGAGAAAAGACAAAGAGGGAGAGACAAAAGCGGCAAGCAAAGAGAGAACGAGTAAGAGGGGGGAGATAGAGAGAGAAAAAGAGGGGAGAGAGAAAAATAACAATGCTCCGCGAACGCTTCCTTTCATGTTGACACTCCCCCAAATGTCTACGCCATGTGGCTCAGTTCGCGAGGAGCCTGCATCATAGTCTGCGTCAACGCTCAGTCAAAGACTAAACACGGTCTTTGTGGGCGTGACTTGCCTGGCCTTCTCGGGTGTGCGCTTCTCGGGTCTGCGCTTCTCGGTTCGAATTGAGGCCAAGTGAATTGGCCTTGCCAAGAAGCCAAGAACCCAGCAACAGCATTCCACTTCTAAAATGCAAACCTTCTGATAGATCTCAGCGTCAATGCTGGAGACCTCCCGTGGGCCTTGACATGGGAACGGAAGTGAGACCATGGTAGAATGAACACGATCCTACTTGCGGTTATCACCTTGCTGCCAGACTGACTTCCTTAACATGTTTGTGTTGGATACTTTATTGGTTAAACTTGTTGCCTGTCAGGGCAGAACCAACCCGCACATCTAAGCTGAGCCGTTCGCTTTCTCTCCCTCTGTCATCCTCCTGCGTCAGGGTACTAAATGTCAAAACCCAATCCAAACAAGGGCATTACTACTAGTAGAAAGAAGCTACTGGGGTGGAGGCCAGGCAAGTAGGTTGGAGGCTATTACTACTAGTAACTAGTAGCAAGAAGCTACGTCACTACGTTCTCCGGGCCACCTTCGGCAATTGTCCACGAGAGCGATCCTGCCTAGGAGGCTCAATCATACCCCAGCTCCGGTACAATGCGCGACCTCTCTATGCCATCCCTAACCCATTGCCAAGATGCTGCTGACAGTCTGCTGCCTCAAGATTTGAGGCTGATGCCAGTGAAAGAAATTTGCATGTTAACCATGGCCTCTTAGGTTGCACACGGTTGCACCATTGACTGGTGACAAAGCTGCGTTCCATCAGCACTTGCTTAAGTCAGATGCAGAATAAACTGTCACTGGTCGCAGACCTGGCCAGAGCAAGGTGCAACTTGTGCCCAAGACGATCAACGGATGCAGCATGCAAGAGTTCAAGGCCTCGAGGCTTGAGCACGAGTTGCCCTCTTGGCTGAAAGCTCGCACCTCAGGTCATGTGAGCATGCACAGCAAAGACCGCGGGCAACACAAGTTAGGGCCTTGGCTCGATTGCTCTCGGGCGTTTGTGTGCACCTCTAGCCATCTGTGAGTTTGAAGGCGTCTGGTCACTCGCTCTCTCTCTCTCTCTCTATCTCTCTCTATCTTTCCTTCTTTCTGTCTGTCTGTCTGCCTTTCGTTCTTCCTTCCTTCCGTCCATCCATCCGTCCGTCCTTCCTTCCTTCCTCCCTCGCTCGCTCTCTCTCTCTCTCTCTCTATCTGTCCTTGTCTCTCTTTTTCAGGAGATTCTGGTTTCTCCGTAGTGTAAGTGAGAAGTTTGATGGGATTTGCAAGGCCAACGTTGCGACGCTTTTGTGTCTCTCAGAGATCTATGAAAATACGGCAAGCCGTGGCATCGCGCCATTTGGGCAAGCCTTAGCCTGAGGCTATTGGAAAGAGCATACAATTCTGAACCAATAGTTGGCACGGGCGTGAGCCGTATAAGTATATCACTTTCGATCGCGGACTGTGACATCCAGCTGCACAAAAACAATGTCCCATGACAGTTCCCCATCCAAAAACTTACGCAAAAGCACGTCTTCCGGCACGATTCTGCACACAGCACGTCTGAATTCCTCCCATTCCAAACCCAGCTGCTCGCTCTTGTCGCGGTTAAGCTCCGCGTGACTTTGTGGGATGCACTCACTCCGGACGGGACCAAGTTGGATGTGCAATTGCTTCCGCGCCAAGAACTTGATCAATTCTTGCACATTTGCAGTGCTGTTTTTCAACCCACCTGCCAGCTGCTTTGCATGATACCCCTCAAACCACCAGAGTGGATCGTCATGCTCCGATTGGTCTTGCAACCTGCGCAAAGTAATCAAACAATCGTGCAAGATTTTCTTGCACATCAAGAGGCGGATCTTGCATCTGTGCTCGGGCTTAACATGCAGTCGCACTTGTCGATGCTCCCACGGAGGCGCAGTGTTAGATCGCCTGCCCGTCTTCTCCTGGCGAGGCTCCAATGGTAGCTCAGCATCGCGCTGTGGCTCGGCTTCATCCAGATCTTCATGCTCATAGCCGTTGGCCAATTTACTGACGATCTTCATCAATTCGGGTGTCCCAGTCCTGGCCAGGCTAGATGGCAGGGGCTGCCGGGGATCATGAAACTCCTTCGGAGGTAACAAGGCCTCACCCGGCTGTAAGGCTACAGCCACCACGCTCCGTTCCTTGGCAAGAGTTCGCTTCTCATGCGCTCTCTTCTCCTCGGGACGATGTAAACGTTCGGCTTTTGGAATTTTTGCAAGAAGCTGCCTCCGGCGACTTTGTTCCTTTGAGGCTAAAGAATCTCCGACTGTGTTCAGGTAGTCTGGGAGCAAAGGAGGCGAACTGGATCTCTCGCGGGATGAGAAACGCCGAGCCAACAGCCGAAGCAACTGGCTTGAGCCCCCCCACTTCCTTCCAGCGTATCTTCTAAAAGACCATGAAACTTGGCAAGTCTTCACAGCATACTCCAAGCTGGCAGGGGCGCATTGCATCAGGTCACATATCCCAGCTTCTGGCTGTTGAGCTTCTCACCGAAAGAGAAAGGACACACTGGTATTCGTTTACATACAACGTTAACTTGCGCCATTCTTTTTGGGAGTGAAGCGGGTCCCTTACTGTAGTTAGTTTAAACCACATGGTGTCTGGTTGAGGAAAAGGCCAACTCACACATAGACTTTGGATGACTCGTGCAAAACCCACCATCAACGAATCACCATCTACAAAATACGGCACGGTGTAGGGTTCTGTCGCATGGCACGAACTGCACCCTACAAGGTTCTATCGATGGGGCACTTGCCAAGCTTGCTCGGCTATATGATATGCGTGTGCAGTGCCGTCCGCTCCTGCTCAACCTCCCGAGGGAGACTTGGAGCCAGATAGCTTGCGTCATAACATTCAGTACTGTAGCAACTGGTGATGAAGTAGGCCCGTCCCAAGCAAAGCTCAAGGGCGCAAATGTGTCCATGTCTGTGCTTCTGCGTGTGCCTCGATCCGTTCGTGGCTGTGTCTGTTCTGGTCCTGCCGCAAAGTCATATATGGTATCATATACAGTACATATATATATATATTTACATATATATATATATACATGCATCACACAGGAACATGACACTTTCAAAACTACCTCACCCTTTGGACCAGCTGGTTCGTGAAACAGAACATATTGGGCCTTGGGCCTTGGACTGGAATGCTGTGAAAAGAATCCGTAGGCGATCAAGAGCTTCACTCCAACGGAACAACGGTAAGGTCAGGTGCCAACTTAACAATTTTGAAAGGCTGTTGGTGGTCGGCTGCCTCTCGATTCAGCCCTTTACATCATTTGACAATCACGGGTGTTTTTACATGGGTGGGGAAGTATTATGTGTGGGGAAGTGTTGGGGGTGGAAGGTTGCGTGCAAGCGTGCAGCACAAAGAATGTACCGGACCCACCTGCTTCGGTTCCTCCGAGACCTCACCGAAGCACAACAAACATGTGAGCCTAGCATCCTGGCTAAAATAAAAGAACTAAATATGTATATATATATATATATATAGAGTTAAGAAACAAAAGGATGGTAATGCTCTCCTTAAGGAAGGCCTCACCTTCCCATGTTTAGCTCTTTTGTCTTTGTTTTCTGCAATCCAATCAGTTTAGGGACGCTTCAGGTCCAAACATCCTTAGGATACTTCCCACGAGGCTTTGCCTGCCCCACGCGACACAAAGCAGCTTGACAATGGTTCGTGCTGGGTGATCTCAAAAAGTGTGCAATGCACTGCAGCATCTGACAGTCTAAGTCACGAACCAAAGAGTCCAGCAATGAACCAACCGATCTTGGGTGAAAGAGCTGCAAAACATGTATCAGGTTGCTTGCTAGATTTCTACAGTAAAAGCCGCAGCCGTGGTGCTGCTACTGGTTACAGGAAGTCACTCTGGGACTTGGACTGGTCTTGCCTCTCACTATGCTGCGAGCCTGCAGGGGAAACTTTAAACATTCAAGTGCTTGGACTCATGATGGTAACAAGAGCTCATGGCAACAAAATGTCCTGAGAATTCCTTGCGGCTCGCCGGAGAAGCAGGACCCATTAGCTTGCGTGCCTGTGCCCGGAGAAGTGAAGTCTCTAGATTATCGGATAGAGACCGATGATAGATCCACACTCTTCTAGGCCTTATCGTAAAGATCCTCAAGGGCATTGTTAGCTTCGGTGCCAGCACCAATGTCCAAAGCGTTGCGAACACGTGGATCACCTAGGAATGTGCTCGACTGCTCGAAGGGTCGACATGAAGCGCAAACGCATGGCGTATGGCGTTGTGGGAGCTGATCGACTCAGGTCTTGGCTTCGACGCTTGGCTTCATCGATGGCCTGTGCACCCTGGCTTCGCCAAGTCTCAGAGGAGAGCGCAAATTGTTTAGGCCAGGAGCCCCTAGTAGCGTCCTTGCTCCTAGTAGCGATGCCCTTTGCCTTTGCAAGTGGAAGAAACACTTTGGGGCAAATTGCATGCCATGTGCCTTGGTCACCAGATCTGATAACCTGGAAGGCGAAAGGAAGATCGCAAAGAGTGCCGTTCAAGTAGGCAACACAAACACGTTCGGTCACTACAAGTATCATCAGTGTCACGCAGCCAGGCCTCTCTCGCCCTTCTTGCTCTGGTCTTCTCTTGTCTGAAGATGTTCCCTAAGGGTGTTGATTCATCTCGGAACGTATTCACATTGGTCTTCAAACAACTCTGGCAATGTTGATCCCTGACCCATCAACGTGAAGGTTGCTCAACGAAAACCCTGTTGAGGACCTTACCCGTCCGTCTCTTGCACCTGTTTGCAGTGGAAGTGTCTAACGATTCCAATCATGTATTGACATGATTGCACTGTGGGCCTAGAGGCCTCCGGGCGCCAGTGCCAGCTCTGCCTTTTTGGGCAAGCTTGCGTTCCAAAAGAGGCGCGGAGTGGATTTCGTGGTTGAAACTCAACAGCTAATTGACTATTATATATATATATAAAGATGTTGAACACACACTCTTGTTTTCACTTCGCAGCAAGTTGGTCATAAGAATAGAATAAAACTGAACAGTAAAGACAGTTCAACGGCCTGACCTTGGACCCCTAGTCCAACAGTAGGTCAACTCTTAACCACCCGGCCACACCCGGGGTAGTAAGACGTTACCCAGTCCATCCTACTAGTTGTCGAGCCAAGCCTCCTACACGCTAGTAGGACTGGACACAGGCCGAAACTGTCAAAAAAAAATAAAAGAGGACTCTTTTCCCTTGCTAGAACGCTTGTTCTTTCCAAGGGAGGAAGCGGGTGGGTGCTTGAAGCCAACACTGCGGAAAACAAGGACATGTGAGCAACATCTTAACCTACGGGGGTGCAGATACAAAGATGTTGAACACACACTCTTGTTTTCACTTCGCAGCAAGTTGGTCATAAAAACAGAGTAAAACTGAACAGTAAAGACAGTTCAACGGCCTGACCTTGGACCCCTAGTCCAACAGTAGGTCAACTCTTAACTACCCGGCCACACCCGGGGTAGTAAGACGTTACCCAGTCCATCCTACTAGTTGTCGAGCCAAGCCTCCTAAACGCTAGTAGGACTGGACACAGGCCGAAACTGTGGAGGCTCAAGTGTGGAAATGAGAGGTTGAAGGAGGAAATTACGAGAAACACTGAGGAAAGGCTTTAAACGTGCGTCCGTAGCCGGCAACTTCAGGTGACTGAGCACTGCCAATCCTTCGTTCAAGTAAATCCTAGCGCTTTTATGAGTGTGCCACCTACCCTGAACAAGAATTCTGTCCGGGTTCTGGTGTTTCTGGAACCAGAAAGTGGCCCCCCCTCGCCTGAGCGAGTAGGGTCGGAAACCAAAGTCTTGAATTTTGAGGCGCTCTAGGCATTGGTTGAAAAGAGATCTCCACTTGGCCGGGGACTGTGTTAGGTGAGTAGCAGGCGTACAAGCCTTTTTCCAAGTGCGTATCACCCGGACCACGGGCTCGAACCCAACAACAACGCTTTCGGCAGCCATGCCGCTTTCCGCCTTTAGTCATACCAAGGCTAATCAGAGCCTGTGCTGCTCCGGGTCCACATTCAATGTGTGAGGACACAATCCCCAGGATTTCACCTGTCCTCAACATACTATAGAACCCAATGAGCAACGACACGCCGAACGAGAAGGCGAGCTCGTACTCAGTGGCTTGAACGGGTTCAATCCTCCTCAGTGGTAGCCGCACAAGGCGGCCTTGGACTGAGTCTGATGACCCCGGAGCGCACCGATCAACCACATCCTGCGTCGCCAACGGCAAAGCAATCCCGAGTGAAGTCAGGAGCTGATTGAGCAGCCACGCCACAACCGGCACGCTCCAAGAGTTCCCCAGCAGAGTCAACCTTGTATCCTGGTACTCTCTCTTCTTCTTCTTCTCACTCTTGCTGACGCAGTTGGCGGTGTAGTGCAAGGGAAACCCCAACAAGACTTCACGTTCTGCTACCGACGGAATGCGAACAGTCCCATGACGATCAACGACCCCATGACGATCCATGTGCTGATACGGTGGGAACCTATGGAGGTCAGCGTGCCACCGCTGAAGCTCATGGTCCTGACACTGCGCAATCCCTGCACGCTTTCGCCCCGGCTGCTTAGCTGGTCTCGAGGTCGTGAAGGTCGGGAACGAGTGCTCGCGAGAAACCTTGGTCCAACCCTGCTCCAGGTAGGGGTCAACCGCCTGGTCGCCCACCAGCGTCCAGGAGATCGGCTCAACTCCCGTGTTACAGGAGGCGCCCGGACCCTCCCGAAGTTCCCACGTAGTCCAGTCGAGCCGTGGCCTGTTGCACCAAGTCAAGGAGCCTGCATCAATGTGGACGGGCTTTCCCCCCCGAAATCCTCGGACATGATGTTGCGGTCGCGTTCATCCATTGAGCTCACCGATTCCATCGACGTGGACGGCGGCCCACTTGAAGTGCTGCTTAACGAGGTCCCGTACGCGTGACACATGGACGAACAAGCAGGAACGTGCGTCTCTCAATGCACCCCGACGATCCGAGTTCAACCCGGATACACCCTGACAAGGTGGCCCAGCCCCCATGACAACAAGGCTGCACTGTGAGAAGCGCAAGCTCCACTCAACGACCGTGGCTTCGTCAACTGTCTCCACGTCCTCGCAGTGCATGACCCCGGATAGTTGCTCTCCACAACTCGCCGCGCCGACGGGTTACTTTCCACGGAGATGTACCCACAGACAGCGACTGCCTGCAGGTCCATGGCAACGCGAAGGGCCCCAATTCCGTCGAAAAGGCTCACGACCAAAAACCTGATGCTCAGCGGGAGCTGTCCCCTCAGTCCCCCTTGTGCTACCATGGTACCTGTTCATCTCAACCCAGATGAGCGGCAGACACCCCCACCGGTGGTCGAGGCATCACTACATGTGACCATGGGATGGTTGTCCAGCCGAAAGTTCATGCGCACCAACGGCAATAGGGCCAGAAATCTCAGGAGCTCAGCTCGGCACTCGGCTGGCAACGGCCGATACCGGGCTCCCGCATCATTGAACGACTCAATGAAGCCCCAAACTGAGTTCAGCGC